AGATGAACCAAGCGACCAATAATTGAATAAATTATCGACCTCTTGATCACACGATTTATGAATATCATTCGGATTCGTGAACGCCAAAAGATTGTTAATCTTGATAAGTTTGAATTGTTCAATTAATAACAAGAAAAGTGGAAGCAAACAAGCCTTTTAGTTATTTCTCAATATCAAAGTCTTTTAAAATTAAAATGAATGTAATAAGTCCTATTTATATTAAACCCAAAAAATATGGTAAAATGGAATAAAAGACTTAAAAATATAAAAAGTTACCAAAAATGAAGAATCCTAGCTAAAATAAAAGTCTCGCGAAATTTGGAAACTCTGTTTCTCGAAAACCATTATGCGGTCACATAGTGTTACTACATGCGGTTGCATAGAAGATAAGATTCAGCCTCTTCTACTCATGGTAGGTATGGGATCGCAGGTGACTAGTAACTATGCGGTGGCATAGTTAGCAATTTCAAATTCTTCGTCCATTGCTCGAATCAAGTTGAACCACCTCATTTTGGTTTCCATGCCCAACATGGAACTTGGCCTTTAGCTTGCTATCTTCAACCTCAATTCCATAGCTTGAACAATTAATTTTATAGCTTTATTAACTCCATTTGGTCTTGGACTTGTCTTTAACCTCGTCTTGACTTGCTCCGAACCTTTGGAACTTTGATTCCTACCTCGAATCACATCATCCTCTCTCTCTCTTTGAAAGGATTCGTCCTTGAATCTGGAACTTCAAGATCACCATGGTATCCATTACCTTCAATCTTTACAATGTCATGAAATGGACCACTTCCTTTCGGGTGCAACTTTAATCTCTTTTGCAAGCGAACGCGGCCCTTTCCCTAAGCATCTAAACCCAATTTCCTGGCTTGAATATGTTGCGCTTTTTTTATTTGCCACCTTGGGATGAACACAAATCTATTTCTAGCCTTCCATCTGCTAGACCTGCTAGACCATGATCCAACCCTTGCTTGGGATGTTGATATTCCGCAATGTCATAGTTAAATGTTTATTCTTCTATGCTCCATAGGTGTTCCAATTGCAATACATCAATTGGATACTAAAATGGTGATATCCCCTTCAGAAAGTCTCCATGCAATAAGTTTTCATGTTCCTGCATCAACGAGCTATTCAAACTAGAGAGAGATTTGTTAGTCTTCACCGAATCACTCTCAACCTTTTTCTTTTCTGCATAGAAGGCCACGTTGCATTTTTCTCTATGCTCAGAATATTCTCTTTCTTTTCTCTCTTGTAGCTCTACTATGTTTTTCTCTCACTTAGCCGCTTCGCTATTTTATCTCGAACTCTTCTTTTGCCTCTCTTTGTCTTTTGCTCTTTTCCTCACCTCTCAATTTCATTTGTGAAAAACCTAACGTTCGACCCAACTAACACCTAGAGGGGGGGTGAATAGGTGTTCATGCGGAATTAAAAAACTTATCAATTAATTCGTGCAACAAGTCACAAGAATTAAAGTTTGTCCAGATTCATTCACATGTCTTAATTACCTATGTTGAATTACCGGTAACAATAAATAAATTAAAGCAATAAAAGAACACAACGAATGTTGACGGAGAAACCCCAACTGGGTAAAAACTCCGGGCACAAGCCAGTAGAGATCCACTATTTGTAGAAGGTAACTTACAGTACGTCAGAACAATTGATCCCCTCAATTTTCTGACCTCCTTACTGTTTGAGAACAAGACTCTCCTGGATCTAGCAGATCTGTGCTACCATCTCAGCCTTGTGTGACTTCTACTTCCCGTGAATCGTCAAGCACTCCCGCTCTTCAAGCAAGTTCTTCCCGGATCTTCAATCTGAGGATCTTCTGGAAGTTTTATAGGATTTAGAGAAGGTGGTGTTTTGGTGTTTCAGGGTGTGATGTTTTTCTGCAAAAGCCAAGGATTTTTAATCTGAAAAGTTTAGAAGATTGTTTGGCTTTTTGAACCTTGGTGTGAAAGATATAAAGGATTAATCTCCAAGGAATATGAAAGATTAAAGAAAAGTTTTTCAACAAAAGCTTTTCGAGAATTTTGATCTCCAAGGATTTTAGAGAGAATCAATAATATGGCTTCAATGTGTATTTCCTCGATGTACAACTCGAAGGAGACGAATGGTAATTATAGGGCTCAACATATGGTCTTGTGGCGCGTCAAAAATTCGCGAGCTTTTAAATTTAATGTTGCCCAGATAAATAGGTCGCTCGTGCGAGGGACCAGCGTGACTCGAGCGACGTCCACTTCGCTCGAGCGACCTGCTGGCGAGGCTCTAGCGACAGTGGTTCTGCAATCGTGGCTCGAGCGAGATCATGGCGTGACTCTAGCGAAATCTCGCGCCGTTTGCAACTTCGAGGCATCCATCACAACCCTAGACCTAGCCTTCAACACTTTGATTAATTGCAACTCAAGTCCCTGAACTATTGGACATTTGACACTTTGGTCCTTGACCTTACAATTATGACATTTTAATACTTGACTTTACAATTATTACATTTTGGTCCTTGGTTACAGATTTGCCAATTACATATTTCCTAACAAACTTCCCCTTTGGCATTCTGTATATGTTGCTGAAAATAGATCAATTTTATATCACCCTTCGATTTGAATTAGCAAAAGCAATCTTTCCTTGTATAATATGGATTTTTACTAAATGAAAGAACTTTTCAAACTAATTGATAGTTATTCCCTAGTTGCACCCAAAATGTGTTATAATTTACCAAATCACGTGTTTATATTTTTGGAATATCACATGTAGACTTTTTTTGGGGGGAGGAGGGGAGAATCACTCGGTGCGAGGCCTCCCTTGTGAGGTCAGGGCATAGTTACCAACGAAAGGAGAATCCACAAATGAAATTCTTGCTATGTTAAATATAATGTTATGTTCTGCTTAATGTTTCACACTCGGCACTCGCATATCACATTTTGTAATATTACGTTTAACAGGCCAACTAAGGGTGAATCCAGCATCAATGTTGAACTAGGGGCGGAGGTTGACTTTGACCATTGGCCGTCGACAATCAACGATTATAAAATCCTGCTCCGACCGACGGGGCAGTCGTTTTATTAACTTTCCAGGCACGCAAGATACGTAACCCCGTACCCAATCACACAACCACAAACTAGGTAACATCCCGAACAATATGAAACAAATGGCATGCAAATCGGATTTACGGAATGCAAGAACCAACGCGATGAACCTCGATGAAAAACATAACTAACACAAGCAAAATTTCAACACAATTCTCACAATGCCATGGAAAATATAAATCCAACGTGAAACAAACTTCATGGCAACGATGCTAAACAAGATATAGCCCAAGAATTTACGTAATAGAAGCAAAGAATCACGCAAAATGCAAAGAATTGAGGAAAAGAAAAAAAAACGAAAAAAATAAAAACATGGAAAGTTTACCTCAATTGAAGTTCAAAAATGGAATTTTGATGTTGAAATGATCTGTAATAACGTCGTAACACTCAATTAACAATATGAACAGAAGAAATTCCAGAGGATTGTATGAAATTTGTGAAGAACTTGGAGAATTTTCAAACTGGAAACGCGAGAAATGAAGTTATAGTTCAAAACCTTGCACTGTCGCTCGAGCGAGGTTTAAGCGAGCCTCGAGCGAGAGTGAATCTGCTATTATCGCTCGAGCGAGGTATGGAGCGAGCCTCGAGCGAAAATGCAACTTTCAAAAATAGCACAAAAATTTTGAATTCTTTAAAATATGGCATAACACTCTGAAAATTATGAAAATAGTCCTAAGTAACAAAATTTTAACGATGTGTAGCAAAATATGCAATCGAGCCCAAACATACCATGAAGACACAAACCCAATACACAGCATATAGACAATTCGTAAGTCCACACATAGATCAAATAACTCGTGGAGGAAAGTGTATACAAAGCATCACGTGAAACGTGCTACGTAGTCCATGCAAGTTAGACTCAAAACCTTAAATTAGTGAGAAAGGACACGTGAAAACAACACAACAAAGGTATGTGTCGACCAAGTGACAGTCAAATCCAATGCCACGAGGACCTATATCAAATAATTCGATTGTCACACTTTTACTCCCCCTAACTGAAAGATCTCATTTTTTTTTAACACGCGAACATAAGTGCAATGCTATCCTCATTAGGCGACAGAGATGACCCCTGTAACGAACGTTGGGCCGGTGACTCCCAAGCCAGACGACCTTAGGGCACCAGGTTAAAAACCCCTCGGGCTTAATAGTTTGAGTCAAATAGGCCCCAAACATAGCACAAGTTCGACAATATACAATAAACGTGGGGAAAGACATTATGATTAGGTGACACTCGTCCTAGATCAAGTCAAATGGACACACAACCCCAATCATAGTAGACCACCATCCCAAGTCTCACCCATGCGGTCAAGACTCATTTACAGGACTACGGTGTGCACTGTGCAAAGGTGAATGACGAGCCATATACCCAAAACTCCACAGACAAAGTGAACTTAGATGGAACCTCAGAGTCGTACATATGATGAATAAAAGAGTACGAGTCTAAATGCACATGTCAGAGTCAAAGCATATAAGGCACACACATAATCAAAACCCCAATCAAATTTTTTTTTATTTTATTGAAACAAACAAATAAAACTCGCATTATATTGATACAGACAAATAAAACTCGCAAACTAAGACTAAACAAACACACAAACATGCAACACATATGCAATGTGATGAAGGTATGAATGTGTATGAACACATGATCAAATAAGTGAACTAACACCTACAGCCGACCGAAGCGATTCGAACCTCAACCCATCTAGCGGTTTTGTAAGTAGGTCAGCCAATTAATTTTCAGTAGACACATGGTCAAGGGAAACAACTTGTGATTCAACCAGCTCTCGAATGAAATGATGTCGTATATCGATGTGTTTTGTACGAGAGTGCTAAATGGGATTCTTAGAAATGTTAATCGCACTTGTATTATCACAAAAGATAGTCATAGTCCCTTGACTAATCCCATAATCACTAAGCATTTGTTTCATCCAAAGAAGCTGAAGCCATATCCTGAAGGACACGATTCTTCCTTTCAACCACCCCATTTTGTTGCGGAGTGATAAGGGAAGAGGATTCCTGCATTATCCCTTCATCCATACAAAAACTCTCAAGGTTGAAGTTCTCAAATTCTTTTCCATGGTCACTACGCATCCTAGACACTTTGAGATTCAGTTCATTGCTAAGCCGTTTACACAGAGACTTAATAAGGTCACAAGCATCAGATTTTTCCCTAAGCAACTCTATCCAAGTAAATCTCGAAAAGTCATCTACAACGACAAGGATGTAGCGCTTACCACCTAAACTCTCGGTCCTAGAGGGTCCCATTAAATCCATGTGAATCAATTCCAGTGGTCTTTTGGTCAGAATTTTAGTGGTCTTCTTATGGCTCCCCTTAAGTTGTTTACCTAGTTGACATGGTCCACACACAGCATTTTTGCTAGGTCCTAACTTAGGCAGGCCATCTACCAATTCTTTCTTAGACAATTGTTCAAGACTCTTGTAATTCAAATGACCTAATCTTTTATGCCAGAGCTCACTTACATCAATTTTAGCGCTCCTACACACATAGTTAGAATTAGGTAGTACCCCATAACAATTGTCGGATGTTCTAACCCCTTCAAGGACTACCCCACCGGATGAATCATATACGGTACATCTCTTCTGCACAAAACTAACCTCAAAATCATCATCACAGATTTGACTGATGCTTCGCAAATTTGATTTTAAACCTTCCACATATAGCACATTAGAAATCACAGGCAAACCAAGCATTTGTACGGTACCTTTGCCGAGAATAGGTGCAAAGCCCCCATCTCCAAAAGTAACCATACCACCATTACATTCATCAAGAGTAGTAAACAAAGATTTATTACCACACATATGCCTAGAACATGCACTATCCAGGTACCACATATTAGAATTTTGAGCTTTTAATGCAACATTAGCAACAAGGCATTTCTCTTGACCTGATAGTCTATCTAAATCACCCTTTTTGACCCAAATCCTTTTAGGCGACAAGTTACTCTTAGTTAGCTTAGTAAGCATCTCAGTCAGATGACTAACCTGATTAGACAGAAAGCTAACCTGACTAGGAATGTTTTGACTTCTACGCTCATTGCCTAACTTGTAACATCTAGGCCTAATGTGTCCTAGAGCACCACAGTGGTGGCAGGTGGGAATAAACCTAGGCCCAAAAGTACGTGTCTGAGGGTACCTGGTCCTAATGTTCCTACGTGATTGATGACTTTGTTCCCTAGGAATGCTCTTACCCTTACTTGGACTCCTAACCGTATTAGGCTTAGAGGCAGCCACGAAGACAGTCTTAGATGGTCCAGCAATAGTTGTATTACCCTCAACATATCCTAGACCTCTCTTGTCTCCCACTGGCTTATTCATTCCCAATAGGTTATCTAATTTCTTAGTTCCACTAATGAACGTCTGAAGATGGGCATTAGATTTTTCCAATTCACTAGTCAAACTCTTAACCTTGTCTTCCAATTTCTCATTGACACACTTCAATTCACTACCGCTCTTAAGTGACTCCTGAAGCTTACCACCCAGTTTCTCTTTTTCCCTTTCAAGTTCGTCAAGCTTTTTAAGTAGGGATTTATTGACCTTCTTTATTTTAAGACTTTCTTTAAATAGTTGTTGATATGCTTCTTGTAGGTCTATGTCATCCTCATCCTCATTCTCATTAACAGAATTATCATTTGATTGCTCTTCCTCAACCTTATCACTTTCCTTATCAGACTCACTCTTAACAGTAGCCACAAATGCCATATAATTTCCTTCATCATCACTACTGGAGGATTCCTGCCTATCACTGGTCTCAGATTCATTATCAGTAAGTGAGACAACTAAGGCCTTACCTTTCCCTTTTCTTTGATTTTTCTTATAGACCTATTCCTTGACACTCATGGCATCTAACCAAACGTGGCTTCTCACTAGACCCCTTATTGTTATCTTTCTCAATTTTATCTTTTGTGAATCTGCTAGGGGCTCCATTCTTTCTATCCTGAGGCTTTCTCCTATTGTTGAGGACTTTTTGGAATTTCTTGACAAAGTATGCGATTTCCTCATCCCTAAGTGACTCAGTGTCAGACAATTCACCTTCTTTATTGGATTTTAGGGCTATGGATTTTCCTTTCTTGTGTTGTGAGAGAGTAAGTTCATAGGTTTGCAAGGATCCTACCAATTCTTCGATCTTAACTTCATCTAGGTCCTTACTTTCCTCAATAGCAGTGACTTTAGGCCTAAATCTCTCAGGTAGGGATCTAAGTACCTTTCTCACTATCTTGGTCTCGGGAATTCTCTCACCTAGGTTGAAACTCGAGTTAACTATGTCATTTAGCTTAGCGTAAAACTCATCAAATGTTTCATCATCTTTCATTCTCACTTCTTCAAACCTAGAAGCTAGCATTTGCAGTTTTGAGTTTTTTACTATTTTAGTTCCCTCATGTGTTGTTTCGAGAATGTCCCAAACCTCTTTAGCAGTTTCACACATAGAGACTCGCCTAAACTCTTCTGGTGATAGTGCCATGAATAATGCATGAATTCCCTTACTATTCCAGTTACATGCAGCTAACTCATCTTTAATCCATAATGATATGTCAGTAAGATGAATGTTTCCTGATACGATACTAGAGGGAGGTTTCCAACCATTTTGAACACTAATCCACACATGCTCATCTAATGATTTGAGGAATGCACGCATTCTAACTTTCCAATACGCATAATTACTTCCGTCGAAAAACGGAGGTACAGACAGTGATTGACTCACCTAAACAGCTATGGGTCAGGATTCGAGATTTCGCTCTGATACCACTTGAAAAACCTAACGTTCGACCTAACTAACACCTAGAGGAGGGGTGAATAGGTGTTCTTGCGGAATTAAAAACTTTCTGAATAATTCATGCAATAAGTCACACAAATTATAATTTGTCCATATTAATTCATGTGCTTTATCTACCTATGTTGGATTACCATTGACAAATAAATAAATTAAAGCGGTAAAAACACAATAAACATGTTGACGGAGAAACCCAACTGGGTAAAAACTCCGGGCACAAG